GTAAGTGCAAGATTGCAGATAAAGATTTAGCTGCAAATATATCACAATTAAATTCATGAGTATGTCTAATAACTGTCAATAACTGTCTTACATATTTACTTGTAATGTGCTTTCATCTAACTCGCTATTTAGTTAGTGTACACTATCTAGTTTCAGAAAACTGCTTCTACTCAAGACAAACAAAGAATTTTTTTCTTTGAAAGGGTAAGAGAGTAGTGTAGTATCTACACGAAACACTGTACAACTTAGAAATTCACTAACAAAGTCATAAAATAAGCAAAGAAATAAGCAACGTTTTGCTTATACCTATTTCTACCAAAGGGGATGATTTCAATCCCAATTTCTTTGACGGATCACCACAGCCACAAAATTAGAAACGAATTTTTTCGTACTTTCGTGCATAGCTTTCGATCCAGGGAAAATATTTTCGAAAACCAGTCGTCAGACCGCCGGACAGACATGCTTAAATCGATTCACAAAATCATTCCGAATAGACCAATATAATAAAAGGTGAATCTATCCTCATCCGCACTAACATAGTATCCTCTAGCGTATCACAACCGGTTTAAGGTGCAATTACTAAAGTGCTCACAATAGAACGAATGCATGCAAAGTGCATGCGGAGTGACAAACCTAATACATTCTCATCCTTCGCGCGATGGCAAGTCGGTAAATTTGCTTTTGATTTTTAGTTATTGTGCAACTGAAGGAATATGACGTTTGTTTATATCGATGTGGTTATATAAAAGTAGAGACACATATACGTACCGTACAAAGTTTAGTAAAGAGTAAAAATGTTGGCAACAGTAACGCAAAGAAACGTGCCATACTGAGTTACGTGATTTTTTAATAATTAATAAATCCGACAGAAAGAAAGCGCCGGCGCAAACTATGTTTCAAAAAAAAATAAATAAAATAAAAATAACGCCGTAAGATCTTTACTTGCGGTTTGTAGTCAACGTTTAAAGCCCTATAAGCTAATAATTGAAACAGATGTAAAGCATCAACACAATATTTCCGAAGCTCATAACTTTTTATTCATTAATTTTCGTGACTCGATTTTCATATTTGCTTTCCCTTTCTTTCGTAAAGAAATGTTTGAAAGTTTTTATCGATTCTTAACTATTTTACTTTATTTGTTGTTTTGCTTACAAAGGTTTTTTCTTTTTTTTTTTTTTGTTTATATATATTTTAATTATTATTTTATTGCTATTATTATTATTGGTAGAAGAAGTAAGTAATAAAATTCGGTAACAACGAAGGAACTAATGCAATTATTATTACATGCAAACGACAACGAAAATCACGGAATGCATTGTCTTTGCAAAAATGTTTCAATAAAAATGATTTTCTTTTACTTTGTCTTCGAAAGATTCTGTCCCTTGTAATCTTATCTTAAAGAATTTCTTTCTACAATTTAAAATCTCAACTTTAACCGTCACGCTTGAAACTGTTACTGATAATAAATTTGATCGTTACACGTTTTTTCGAATTTAAACCTTGTGCATTTTTGCTCTTCTAGTCAATTTCACATTCACTATGGGACGCTACAGCTACTCAGCTAAGCTTTTAACTCGAATCTCTAAAACTTCATCTTAGTCGAGTTAAAAATGATGATTTCTTTACTACATACCGAAGAAGCTGGACTTGCCCCATCAAAGTTTAAGAAAGAAATGTCTTGCTTGCTTTGCATAGAATGCAATCGAAACGAAAAGTAGTAAAATTATTATTAAATTTCACATATTCCACAAATTTCCTTCTATCGCCTATACGCAGTTTACTTTCGATCACGAGCTTATTGATAGAAGAAATGTGCATCTCATCGTTATATGTGATGGCCACACTTTCATTTTTCATAATTATCCTCTTTATTTCTCTTCTAAAGAAGTAGGCGCTCCGACTTTATGTCTTGCTTACTAATTGGCTTTTGAATAATTTGCATAAATCTTGAAGTTCTTAGTTTTTAAAATATTGTACTTGGAGTTAGTGAAGTAAAAAACAAATCTCTCAAATCTCTTACTTTCACTCAACGGATATATGCGTTGCAGACATTAGTTTGTTTACATGGTTTGATGCATTTTTATATAAAAATTACTTGAACTACAATTTTTAATGAATAGTTGGCCTAATTAGTTAAGTGAAGTAGTACTTCTTATCCTCTACATCATTTTGTGATGCTGTGCATGCTCTGTGTGCTATAGGTCGTAATATTTCAAAAAGTGCGACTTATATGTTCAACTCGCAAGCCGCTATTGGCGGACGTCAGTCGTATAGATAAATGGATGGATGGACAAACGTAATAGATTCCGAATATTCAGAACTATATGTTCACATATAGCCCATGTACTATAATACGTGTATCATCGTTATCGTAAGTCGTGTGGGTGTGAGTGAGTGTGTGTGTGTGTAAGGTATAAAACCATAAAATTCAACAGCGATTTAGTCAAATGCTTGCATTTTTCATACGAATTTCTAAAACAACGGCATCATGAAGATATTAATTGTTAAGAGCAAAAATCTATTTGGTTCATTTTACATTGAAATGAAGCCGAGAAAAACGAATTAAGAGATGGGTAAAAATATACGAACAATGATTATCAAAGAAATGGTTTATTTAAAAAATATTTCACCTACGCGTACACTTATTAGCCTAAAGAGTTGAAAGTCAACCGGAGTATTCCTTCACCATATGCGACATTTCGAATCATCCGGATTCATGGTTGTGCCCGTTATGCATTGAAAAGTTCGAGCAAACTCTATTGAATTTGTTAGTACACCTTTTAAACGTATCTTGCCCGGGCAATGAGAATCTTCGATAGCATACCGAGAGGCAGCCTTAGTGTAACTTTCGCACCATAAATTTCCAAATGATATGAAAAACAATTGTTCGTGTGTATAATGTTCCAAGCCAGGCAGTTTCATGACCTCTCTCCCATTATTCCTTATATGCAATTTGTACGCGTGGTATGCTTCACGCATACCGCCATTATCAGCGATATTTTCGCCTAAAGTTAATTCGCCATTAATCTATATATAAACAGTGTAAATGGTTTTATGTTAACAGTCATTCAATTGTTTTCACTTTAACACTTACATATTCATCAATGTCCGGCAGATAATAGCGATTATATTGCTCTACGAAGCATTCTGTTCGATTAATATATTCGTTGATTGTCTCATTCGACCACCATTGCAGCATATTTCCGTTTTTATCAAACATACGACCGCTGTCGTCGAAACCATGAGTCAACTCATGACCCAGTATGGTGCCAATTGAACCGTAATTAAGTGCTCTGCAGGTTATAAAGCATTGTGCGCGCTTGCATAAATTATGGTCATAATAAGGTATAACAACATGAACACACTTAGTGTGATGGAGTGCATAAATGTGCAAGTTTTTCAAAAAAAAAAAAAAAACAATTTTACAAAGGACTCATCTTCCGTTCCCTCTCCCAATTAACGAGAAATATTCTATAAAATAGACTTAAGCTAGCCAGTGCTGAAATGGAATGCTAATGTGGAATGCATTTGGCTTCGCTTAATAGCCATAGATTTGTTAGTTGAAAACAATGCTATGCCCACGGTAAATGAAAGTGTAAGAAAAGAAGCATTTTGATCGTTGAACTGGCACATTTCTAATCAACAAAGTTCTTTACAACTTCCAGACAATCGTTTGAGCTCTGGTAGCTGGCCTGAGATTCAAAAGCAAATCTCTTACCTTTTTATCGTTCAAAACACTTCCCCATGAAATATAATTGTGCATGAGGATGTGCATTTAATATGCTGTTCTCAAGCAAGTGTGTAAGTGTGCGTAATATATTATTATTATCTGTGCTTTCAAATGAGGAGCTGTGCACTCACTCTAAACCCAAATCATAGAATGGGTATTGAAGAATTGCTATAGGGATCGCTAATCCATCGAAAATGCGTTCAAAAAATGTACAAAGATTTTTTAAAATACATTCCAAGTTAAATTTTTTTAGATAGCTTTGCTGCTATTTAAAAATTCAATTTTGAATAGTTTTTACTTACTTATGGCATTAGCTTGGAATATATGAAATGCGTTAACATTTGACGGCGACGTAGCCCAATGAAATGTTTCTGGCTCATTGAAATAGTCCAGCATGACTTGCATTTGCCAATGCAATACACCGACCATATTTTCCAAATGCGTGCTAGCATTGACGGTGACCCC